TTTGGAAAAGACATTTGGACCAGATTTTGCGAGATAAAGAATCTGATTCTAACTACGATAGTCTTAATGAAACCATTGTAACTGATATAACTAATAATAATAATACCATTAGTAATAGTGTTGAACCCCTCTCAGCTGTAAGAGAAGGGGAAGTGTTAAAACAAAATGATATTGAAGCAAGAAATTTTGAAGAGTCTGGTAATGAAATAGCAAGTGAAGCAGTGGTTAGTGAGGTTAATGAGAAACCAAAGACCAGAGAAAGTGTGATAGCAGTTCCAAGTAGGCCAAAAAGAAATTTAAAACCACCTGTGCGTTTAAACTTATAGTGGGGAGGTGTTGTAGTATATTGTAATAGATATAACAGAAGAAGAAAAAGAAGATATAACAAATAATATAAGAAGAAGATATAACAAATGTCAATTGTCAATTGTTGATGTAAAAAAGGTTATAATTGTAATCACGGTTCGATTTTAGTTAGTAAAATAAAACTATGTTTAATTCTTTATATTTATATTCTTCCTCCACATCACACTAATCTCCTATATCTTTTTCACTGAATTACTGTTACAATACGGTCTTTTGTTGTTTCAGTTGCAAATCCAATTGCCTTGGAGTTTTTACTGAAAAAGATATGATTGAAATATCCGCCAAACTACATAACATGACCACCAAAACGGAACAGCACATTTACATCCAATCTGTTATGGAAATTAATTAGATTGCAAGGGAAATACCCAGGTCTAGTTCATCAATCGCGAAACCCAAGGCTTTCAGTTTGATTCATTATGTAGTACACAATGGAAAACGTACAAAAGTATGTAAAAATGGATTTATGAAAACCTATGGATACACTGCAAAGTAGTGTTACGGTTTGTCCCATCTATTGCAACTAAATGAAACACCAACTGACAACAGAGGAAAAAACGTTTCAGGAACTGCAATACCTGGGTCCGTATTGTCTAAATTAAGGGCCCATGTGGAATCATTCCCCACCGAAGTACATCACTACACAGGAAAAGAAAGAAAGTATTTTTTAGCTAATATGAATTTAAAAATCATGTACATGTTCATTAAAAGAGAACAGTATAGTATAGTTTCCTTATTTCAATAGTAGGAACTGAGAAAAGGCTCTCCTACAAGTTTTTTTGGACGTATTTCAAAACTACCCTTCTATTGGCTTTGCCCAACCAGCCCAACCAGTTAAAGATGCATGTGTTACATGTGAGGAACTAAATTTAAAAATAAAAATTCCTGATTTGATTGAGAATGCAAAGCGAACAGCTGTCACTGAGCTAACAGTATACAAGTGTAAATCTAAAAACTTCTATGCATCACTGAAAGAAGTGACCACGCAGTGTGTCAGTAAGCCTGAAGAAAATGTTGACATCTGCGTAGATTTTATGGACAACATATCTCTACCACAGTTTAACCACAAACAGTTAGGACACTCTTAGTCGGCGCCTTTGAAGTATAAAAGTATCCAGACGCCATATTGAAAACAGACTAGATCAGTTACGGACTGGCACAAGTGCTTAGAACAAAGACGTGTTTATATTATTTCAAAGTTAGTAAACAAGTTAATTTGAATTAATTACAATCGACAATATATTAATTTAATTTAATTATTATTATCAAAATGTTTTATTTATTTTATATAAAAATAAATCTTTTCTACCAGAGAGAGCTGTTTCATATCTTTTCTTCTTTTCAGATGTTCATTCAAAAGACTTTAACCGAGTAATATCGTGAAATGTTTTTGAGACAAAGAACATTGACTATTTGCGCTTTTATAAAGAACAAATGCATTTTTTCTTGTTATATGTTAAATTACATAAAATACAGCCAGGGGCTATCTTTTTTATTATAAGTTTTTCACCTGCCATTTTAAATTGCATTTACTACAGTTTCTAGTAGAATGGTTGTGAATTTAAGATTTTTTTAGTAGCAATGGTACTTGTTTCTTTTTAAAGTATTTCATACAGTTCTAGCAGTAATACCAGTTTCTTTTGAAATTAGAACGTGCTGTTACAAGGAAAATTAATTTCAGTTAGACTACTTACGGCAGTTTTAGGCTGTTCCTGTTCTTCATTAATTGCACGAGCTGGTTAATTTTCAAATTTAAAAATAATGTTGTGAATTGCAGATTTTGATGGTACAGGGCCTTCGAATGAAAACGAAAACGTAGCGGTTACATCGTTGGCCCTACTTCCAGAATAATATCATTTAATAATTTGCATTTTATGTTCAGTTGTAAAGGTTACCATTTTCCTAACTGGAAATATCAATTACTTTATTTTTTTGCGAATAAAACCAGAATTAGTATTTATTTATTTATTTATTAACGGGATGTTTCCATTTTTTACAAAACAATTAACAACATAAAATATCCTAACCATAACATAAATACTAAAACTAAATATTGTTAAACAATTATTAAATTACATAAATTAAATTTTTATAAAACTAATTTTAAAATGAAATTAATATCCCCAAGTTTTTTTAGACTTAATTAAACGAAAAATAAAACTCGACGATAAAGATATAAACAAACAAATCACGACAGATGACTCGACTACACGTCACATTAATACCAGTCGGGTGTCACTAGCGTTCGGTCTGTTTTCAATATGGCGATATGGCCTGCGCTAAATGATGCGCGTACTTTTTCCCGCCTGTCGAGTATCCATACTATTTCTTTTTTATACTATGTCTCTACCTTGTATTCCTGTCCAAGATACCTATTACCTTATACAGCTCACTGTAAACGTCTTTGGTGTGCATAATCTCGTGACACGGGAATGTACAATTTTACATCTATCATGAAGGTAAAAGTTCAAACGAAATGACAGAGATTTTGGCTCACTCTTTTATGCCAAATGTCAGAGATTTTGGCATCATCAGAAGAAAATTAAAGCAAGAAGAACGATATTATACTATTAATGAGGTTGAAGAGCTTATAATGTAATCATAAAAAATTGACGGCAAATTTTCTGTTATTAAAATGACTGCTGATGATTTCATTGATTTCAGTTCATGGTGGCCCCAGTTTAAAAAAAAACCTGCGTAAGTGTTGATTCGTATGGCAAAAATGTCCCAAGAAACCAAAAAGGGCTTTTGCTATATCACAATACAGAGAAATGACTTTTTCATCAAAGAATCCTAACACCGTTCAATGTAAGATGAACATCGGCGGCTTTATAATGGATGAATTCAAACTAAGGAATGCAGTACAGCCAATTCAGGCTCCTACTAGAAGAGCATATTCAACTGTACTTCCAATTAACAACAAAAAAATGCAAGACATGAAGAAAACATTGGAATACAACCCGAAAGAAAAAATGAATTTTTGAAATCCGATTTTGTCATGGCCAATTACACAGGCATTTACAGAAGAAAACTAAAAACTTGAACTGAAATTTAATCGCTTTATTTCATTAAAAGTAATTCTCATAAAATATTCTGTTTGTATATTATTTTTTTCCTTAGAACTGCTTAAAGTTTCTTGTTTACGACAGAAAGGGAATATGTCCTTAACACAAAAAAATCCTCTACCCTCTCCTCTTAAAATATTTAAATATTTTATAAGTATGTAGTAGTCCAGAATGCCCAATCACATAAATCTTAAATGCAAAAAAAATAATACCAGCAAAGTTTTTTGTCTCTCCTGAAAAATTGGTAAAACTGGACTTGTTGCCTTTCTGCAGTTAGGGATTCATGGCGTATTTATAATAATAAATACTTTATTATTGTACATTTGAAGAGGTTACAGCGCCTAGCCCGATAGGCCGACCCTGTTTAAAATGCTTAATTTTGAAAAAAAAAAATTAAATTTGAAATGAAAGGAGGATTTCAGACAGAGATTTATGCAATCTTTGGGGCTTTTAAACTTAGTTGGCTTTAACTGGCGAAACATAACAATGCCATATGGTTACGGGTGTCAGGTCACTGTGCAAAATATGGTAATTTTAAAGTTGATTAACTAGACAGAAGAGGGTCAACTGTCTTCTGGTCCGTGACCTGAATCCGAATACAACAAATTCTCACTGGGAAATTATACGGGATCCAGAACGTGTTGTTTGTTTCCCACGATTGTTTTCCAAGCATAGACCCAAGGTGTTCCATATTCTGTTGATTGATAATACGTTACATATTATTAAGTCGAATATTTTCGATTTGATAAGTATCTCAGGTTATCTATTAAAACACATCCTGTCCTTACTATTACTGCGGACCTGCGGTTACTATCTTTAGGAGAGAAACCACACTGCGACCTATTATCATTTAGTGTGTCCTTTTTTTTGCATTCTCTCATTTTGGTTATATTGTGATTTGTCAGTAATTAGTACTGCTCCCATAACCCTTTCCCTATAAGTTGGTTTAGTACACCTAAAACCTTTTATTATCTCATCTCTCTTTCTATTCTCAGTCTATAATACAATTGTTCTAGTATTATTAGGTAGTCTCTCTATTAATAATCTTTTCATTATTTAATCAATATGTCAGCAAATATATTACATCAATTATAACGTTGTGTCTCCAATTATAATTGCCTGTCCCCTTGCGCATAAGTTTTATTGACCGTCTGCTAAAAGCTTCACTTAATATAACGTTAAATGTATATTTCCGGTCAGATACAAGGTGCGGCCATGTCTAAAAAACAATTTAGGAGAGTAAAAAGGAATATTGTTACCAGTGGATATGGTATAAATGGAATAAATACATGGCAAATGCATGTTTATATTATTTAAACGTTAAAAAGCTGAAGAAAGCTTAGTTTTATTATGACAACTAATTAAACTTTAAAATATATAAACTATATAAACTTTTTGTTCTACAACTTCCAGAACGTTCCAGAATTCACTAGACATTCGGAAAGTAAAATAGCAAATGCTTCATAACAGTGAAAGAGCATCATCATAAATGCAATCTTTAGAAAACAGAAAATATAGGATTGTACATTTAAAAATATATTATATACACATATTATATGGAAAACTTACCTTGCCATACATTGTTTTGAATGTAATCGCTATTTCTCGTCTTTGTTCATTACTTCTTTTTGTAATAATTTCGATTACTGCTTCTTCATCTGTTCCGAAACCCTTGAATGCTTGTTTTAGAGCTTTTGCATCATCCTCGGCATTGAAATCTGGATAAGGAACCACTGTTGGCTAAAACATAATATATATAGAGTAAGAACTCTTTTTATGCGATTTTAAAGTTGTGCGGTTTGTATTTCATCCAAAAATTTCTATTATTAAATATAATAATTAAATATTAACTATTTATATCCAGATGTTAGTAAAGTGCGCGTGTGCAATTCGGGGGTTCCCTTGTTACATGATGTCCTAATTACATCATTTCGAGCTTCGCGTTGAAAGGTATAATCTGTTATCTGTTATAGTTTTAAAATAATTTTTCTCTTAACATTGCTTCTTTTTATAATAAGTTGTTTAAAATTTCCGATTCCAAGTTGTAGTATAATAAGCAGAACAGTTTTCGAATTGAAACGTTACAAATGAGCGTAGAAAAGTTTTATTTTTCATTAGAAGAGGTTTTTGCCATTTCAATATCGTAAGTCTAATTTTTTTTATTTCGTTTTTTAAAATTTTATTTGGCCCAGTGGAGAAAAAAACATCAAAGACAATCAACTTCGTTGGAAACGAAAATTGCAATTTTAGATCCCTTAGGAAAAGGAGAAGGATCTAAGGCAATTGGAAAAAATTTTAATTTAGGTGAATCAACTGTAAGAGTAATTCAGAAGAATTAAGTTGCTATAAAAAATCTATAATTTCTGGTACAAAATTAAGCGCCAAATTTTCATCTTGCTCAAGGGATGTATTATTAGAAAGAACAGAAAGAGCTCTCGCAATTTAGATTGAGGAACTAATTCAGGAAAAAGCTCTATGAGTTAATGAAACAGTCACTAAGCCACCAACTTCCACTTCTCAAGCTGGTAAAGAATTTTTAGCTAGCAAAGAAAACTCTGGCGAACCCGGTTAGCCAGGGTTTACAAAAAGAAATGAACTTCATAATATCTAGATTACAGGAGAGAGTGCAACAACAAATGAAACAGCAGCAAAGATATTTCCACTGGGGCTAGCGAAAATGATTGAAGATGGGGACTATTGTGCCCATCAAGTATTTAACGCTGATGAAACGGGACTGTATTGGAAAAAATGCCTTACCGCACTTACATCGCAAAGGATGTAAGAGGACATAAAGCAAGTAAAGATCGGGTAACATTATTTATTACTTTGTAGCAATGTGTCTGGAGATACAAACTATCGAAAACATCTACTTCCATAATCGAATACAGGCAAAGATGAATGGCAAACTAACACAGTGTATACCAGTATAAAGGAAGTCAGACTGGGTAACTCGTTAAGCCCACTTCTCTTTAAAATAATAATGGACGTAATCATACAAGCAGTAGCTACGTAAAGGTAATGGTTACAGAATGGGGAAAAAAGAAATCCAAATATTATGTTATGCAAACGCTGCATTAATCGCCGAGACAGAAGACGAGCTCCAAAAATTAACACATACCTTCAATACAACAGCCAAGAAATACAATATGGGTTTCAAAAGGGGTAGTAAGGCGCAATACAAGATGCTGTTTCCAGTTAGCATCTCTAGCCTATCCTACTCAATTCCTATCTTCATCTCCACGAAGTGCGGCTTGAGCTGCACGGGCAAACCCCGGAGAACCTGAGTAACCCTGCTGGAGATTGAGTAACCAACCCCAGTGGAAGGCAGGGTCAGGACAGACGAGGAAGGGAGAAATGGTCCTCCGAAAAGAATACTATTGCCTCGGAATAGACATCGAACACGGATTAGACCCAAGCTACGAAATAAGGACATTCTCTTAGGGACATGGAACGTGTTAAGCAGGTACAGGCCCGGAATTGTAACACATGCCATAAAACAGCTTCAAAAATATAAGATGGACGTAACAGCGATTCAGGAAATGAGATGGATAGGATCGGGAAGCCTGCAAATGGAAAGATACTGCGGACTATCTATGGGACTTGCAGAGAAGAGACAACAGGAGAATGGAAAAGAAGACACAATAATGAACTCCAGACAGTATATGGAGATGAAAATATAATACGCTACATTAACACGTTGCATGCTAATCACGCCTATGAGCGTCAAGATATCGCTTCAGTCATATGCTGATGACGCACATGTGAGTTTTCAAGATACCTATGTTTTGTATTGTCTAGCATAAATACCCTTGTGTATAAAAGTTTACTTTTTGGAAAAGTTTGTAGAGAAAACTATCTGTTAACCTATTTATCAAGCAGTTCTCAAAATCATTTTCTACCTTTCCTTCTACTACCAATAGTTCCATAGTTCCCGTTCTTATGGCTGAAGTAATTTAGGTATTCTCGGTTTACTTTTTTTATTAGCCTGTCGTTTATATGGAGCTGTTCCAGAAGTGACAGGTTGGTCCTGTGTTTTGTCCAGAATACTTCCTCCACAAAAGCGCAGACCGGCCACTGCATTTTTATATACATAATGATAAATACTCTGTCTATGTCCTTTATTATTTCTTTTTCTCCTTTTAGAATGTTTCCATTACCTTCTTCAATTTTACTTATATTTTTCTTTTTCTCATTTTAGAATGTTTCCATTACCTTCTTCAATTTCACTTGTGTTTCGGTAATTTCTTCTCGGGTGCCGTATTGAATCAAATTATTTTCGATTTGCTTCATAAATTGGGGTTAAAAAATAATATTGTTTCTGGTAAAATTATTAAAAAAAAGCAGTAGAAATTTCAAGTGAACTAAGTATTGATATGAAGGCTTCTAGTTCTTCTAGGCTTGAGAAATTTTGAAAGCGACAAAATAGTTGCTTCAAATTTGTATATGACAAAACAGCTGCTGAAAATTACTTGTGGTTTCTGATTGAAAGGAAAAACTGCTCAATTTATTGAAGCGATACTCACGGCTAGATATTTTAACGCAGATAAGTCGGGATTATTTTTATTTCGACGAAAGCATTATCTAACATAACTTATGCCCTAAGAGAAGAAATGAGCACTGCAAGTAAGGCTTCCAAAGATGGACTCACAATAATTCTGTTTTGAACCAACACTATAAAAATAAAAAACCAAGAAAAGCCACCGGTAATCAAAAAAGAAAATCTTTTCTCCAAGTACAAAAACTAATTCATAAAATTATTTAAATTTAGCTTCTGTATTATCTTTATTTTGCCATATCAAATTTATTAAATTAATATATTTTCTAAATTTAAATTAACCTTATTCTATTTTTTGCTATTAGACTTTTTTATTTTGGATTTATATTATTAGAAAAGATAATGCTGATTATCACAGTCAATAACCGCAATCCGTATCTATCTATTACAATAATTGTATTATTTTATTTATTTATTAAAACCTATTACAGAATTCCGTACCTCCATAATAGGTTGCCATGCTTTTTAGTTGTCAAACTATCAAACTATTGACGTTTGTTAAAATAAATGCAAATAATAATTATTCACATTGTAAAAGATCGAAGATTCGTGTGGTAAAATGAATGCAAATAATTCAAACTGTAAAAGATCAAAATATAGTACTGATCAATTATATAATATATTAAATAATAATTCATCTATTATGAATTCAGTGAATCCAATAATAGTGTAGTTCTGTCAGATGAAGACACAGGTATGTTTATTATAAAGTACAGATATGATTCCAATACGAGATTTGAGAAATGAATTCAAAATTATATCATAACTTCATTTGTATACATGTTTTGAAATGTTTATTTCTAATTTCAACCTTTTAGAATATTATCAACAGAATTATTTTGCAGCATTATATTTTCTTGTACAATTGCTTTTTCTTTTTTTAGATTTTGAAGAAGAAAATGATTATTCTGGATTGGTTGAAGCGTTACATGGAAATGCAGATAGGAATGAAAATATACAGGAGGATCCAAATTTAAGTGAGGATTCGTGGAAAGACGATCCTATTGGAATGCAAAATTTTAATTTTACCAAATCTTCTGGGTTATTAGTAGATATTCCAGGGACTGGTTTTCCATATGATTTTTTTTTGCCTTCTTGTAAAAGATATTTTTTTTGAGATGATAGAGCAGGAAACAAATGTTTATGCCGAATCGTTATTTTTATCCGTTGTTGCAGAACATTCACGTATAACTCAATGGAAGCCTATGTCTGTTAACGAACTTAAAACATTTTTTGGACTTACATTGCATATGGGAACATGGAAAACCAATAGAATCCAGGACTACTGGAATACCGATCCTCTTTTTCAATTGAAACGTTTCCATAATAATATGAGCCGAGATCGTTACTTGTTTATTTTGAGATGTCTACATTTTGCCCGAAATCCAGAAGAGGGTACAATAGAAGATAAAATCTATAAAATTAAACCACTTTTAAATTACTTCAATAGTATAATGGCTGAAATATATCAAACAGGAAAAAATCTATCCCTTGATGAAAGTATGGTGTTGTGGCGTAGTAGATTATCTTTTCGAATATATATGAAAAGCAAACGTCACAAATACGGACTTAAATTGTATGTGTTGGCAGAACCCAACGGCTTAGCGCTTCGTATGAAATTATATACAGGACGTTATGACTCTGCAGGTGGAAAAGGCCACTCTGAAAAAGTAGTTTTAGAACTAATGCGAGATAAACTTAACGTTGGGCATTCTCTTTTTATAGATAATTTTTATGGAAGTGTTGATTTAGCAAAAACGCTTTTACAAAACAATACTTTCTGCACAGGAACTTTAATTTCCAAGAGAAAAGATAACCCTAAAAAAGTTTTAGAAGCTAAACTAGCACAAGGACAGACAGTAGGGCAATACAAAGATGGCATTTTATTTGGAAAGTGGAGAGATAAGAGAGAAGTTATGTACATATCCACGGAATTTAAAAATGATCTTATCGAAACTGAAAACAAAAGAAACCAAATAAAAAAAATAGGTATTCACATATTTCAAGTTTTGTTGTTAAATTCCTATTATTTGTACAAAAGTTATACTCCGTACACTGGTAGAAAAATTAATTTATATGAATATCGTTTAGAAATTATCAGACATCTTTTAAAAAATTCTGAAAAAGTATTGGTTACTCCAGTGTACAAACAACAACAAACAAAAGACAACCACAACATTTCAAAAATTTTAAATGTTGATACTAAAGGTCGGATAAAGAGAAAAATATGTAAGGTATGTTCAAAGAATAATTTAAGAAAAGACACGATATTTGAGTGCAGCTTCTGTTCTGAAAAACCTGGCCTTTGTGTTAGAAAATGTTTTGTACAGTATCATAATGATAATAATTTGTAATTATTAATATTATTATTGTAATATGTTTTCTATTAAAATTTCCAGTCAATGTTTCTTTTGACAATAATGACTTTCTGCAATTTAAAAATCAAAGACGCACATGTGAGTCACTTAGCATATGGATGAAACATTAATGATCTAGTGCTGGCGACGCCTATGAGCGTCACGCGTTAAAAAAGACAAAATTTAGCAAAAACTTTATAAATCTATTCTGCCAACAAGAAACCAATTGCAGTTATAACGATTTACAAAAAAAATACTCTTAGCACCTAGCAGTAGCATATCGTTAGGCTTTAAGCATGCGACGTGTTAAAGCAAACCGAATAAGATGGGCGGGGCACGTAATAAAATCGAGTGACGAAAGATTCCTGAATGCCACATTCTGGGAAAGACCCGATGGCAGAAGGTCAGTTGGTCGCCCAAAAAAGAGATGGAAGGACGCAGTAGCCAGTGATCTACGCAAAATGGGAATACAGCAATGGGAAATAGCTGCTCAGGACCGACAAAAATGGAGGGAAATAGTAAACGCGGCCAAGACTCGCATAGAGTTGTAAAGCCAAATGATGATGAAGATATATAATATGATAATATCAGCAGAAAAAACCAAAAGTATGACAACATCTAAATGCCCACTACGATGTAAAATCGAAATTGATGGGAAAATAATAAAGCAGGAAGCAAGGTTTAGATATATAGGAATAGATATAACTAGTTACGAATATGTTGAAGAAGAAGTACGACAACAAAGCTTAAATCCAAGTAAAGCGGCGGAATCTCTTAATGACACAATCTGGAAGAACAAACACCTAAGACAAAACACAAAACAAGAATCTATAAAGCAACAATTAGACCTATATTAACATACACGGTGACCTTACAAGACCTGACACATCTAAAACGGGACGACTACTAGAAACAACAGAGATGAAAAGTCTGTTGGATATTGAGAGAAGCGAAAATATAAAAGCATGCAATATAGAAAACATCATAGGTAGAAGGTCGAAGATCACGAGGAAGATCCCCAACAAGATGGATAGATCAAATTACAGGAATATGCCAAAGACCTATGCATGAATTAAAAGAAATGACCAGAGACAGAGATCTCTGGAGACGGACAATACACGACATCACGTCGACCACTACACTCCCCCTGCGGGGTCAGGATTAAAGAGAGATAGAAAACATAAATGGATGGGTAACAAAACAGAAACAGGTGTGAAACGAACTTCTTTATATGCCGTCTTCTACCGAAGGTTGGGGACCACCAAACGATAGGTTTCTCTGTTTTGTGCCGCATGTATTATGTTCGCAGCTTCCGGTATTTAAAACCATTCTCTCAAGTTTCTCAGCCAGGATTTCTTCTTTCTGCCCAAACCTCTTCTACCTTCAAGATTGCCTTCCACGATAAGTTGTAGCAGACTGTACTTATCATTACGGGAACACATGGCCCAGTTATCACGCTTTCTTCTTTTTAACAGTTGTTAACAATTCCACCTCTTTACCCATTCGTCTTAATACCTCTGTGTTGGTCACTCTGTCTGTCCAAGGTATTCTCAGTATGCGTCGATACAGCCACATTTCTAGAGCCGCTAACTTTTTTATAGTTGCTGCTGTTAACGTCCACCCTTCTACTCCGTAAAGTAAAGTAGAGAGTACGTAGCATTTCGTGGCGCGCCATCGGAGGTTAACGTTTAGGTTGCGGTTGCTTAAGAGCTTTCTCATTTTGATAAATTTGGATCTTGCAATTTCAATTCGGATCTTAATCTCTACGTCTGGGTCCGACTTATCATTTACTGTATATCCCAGATATTTAAATCGGTGTACTCTTTCAATACGTTCGGCTTCAATATTCAGGTCGATATGTTGAATGTTTTTTTACTGTGTAACGAACACATTGGTAGAATGGTAGAGGATAGAATAGTACGAATAGCACGAGATAAGTCATCAATGGACAAAGAAGTATTGACAGACCAAGAAAAAGATCGTGCGATACTTTAAACAGCTTATTAGGTTAATATTAAAGAAAAAACAGGCTTTAAAGCCTACATAAAAGAAGGAAGAAAGAAGAAGTGTCTGGAGATCGGATGTTGAAACCGGTCTTAATAAATAAATCTCTTATATCACGTGCTTTAAAAGGCAAATATTTAAAATAACTGCCAGTGCATTTGATGGCTAACAAGGAAGCCTAGATCACAACAGCTATTTAAGCAGAAAGGTTAAATAATTGCTTCGTGGCAGAAGTAGAAGCCTATATGAAGGAAAAATCTCTAGATTTTAAAGTTTTATTAATTATTGACAAACTTTCAAATAGTAGTTCTTCCGCCCAATACAATAAGCCTTATTTAGCCATAAGATCGATGCATAATTGCAACGTTTAGAAAATATTACATAAAGGCAACTACAAATGCATCGTCAGTAAACTACAAAATGAGGCCTTAACAGTAAAAGACGTGTGGAAGCAATTTTCATGTTGCACCTGCTTCCGCTCAAATAAGACCAAGAATTTTTAAATGCCTACTGGAAAAAGGTTTGGTCAGCATGTATAACAGGCAATGCAACCAGTCAATCATTGACACTATCAGATGGAATAATTAATTTGGCACATGAAATTGGCAGGATGAAAAGGAAGAGCTACACAGAACGAGAATGAAGTTTGTGAAAATCCATCGCCTTTGCCGCAAATATCTATTGCAGAGACAGTTTCTTCTAAACGGTGCAAATCATTATCAGATGACCTATTACTACTACTATACCTATTACTTTCCCATAAAATAAAATTAATTAAGTTTCGAATACAAGTTTTTTTAAGCGTTGTATAAATTTCTTTCAGATATTAGAGGTAATTTATCATGTAGCCTATATTTTTAATTTCTGCGAACTTTTTTGTTTTTGTATTTTATGTAATTTTCACTCTTTTTTTAAAACTTGAGTCAAGACCCAACAACACAAGTAAAAAACATTAATTGTACAAATAAGCGCCCGACCTGCCCTACGCGCGTCATTATCAATTAAAAAACAATGGTTTAATAGTTATTGATGCACCGAGGGTGTTATTAAGATGATTACGCCTGAAGAGCAACATAATCTCGCCAGATGGCTTCTGGCTCGAGGGGTGGATGGTATGATGTATAAACTTTTTGCTGATAAACGAAAAAAGCAAAAAATTATCGTTTTTGATCTCAATTTGTTAACGACTAATGAAATCCAAACAATCAACTGCAGGAAACATAGTTTCTTGTTATAGAGGCCCATGTCCATACTACTCAAAACAACTGTCGTCGTTTGCCTGGTCGGACGAGTGTCACGAAAAAAAAAGCTTATTTCCCTGGGCTATGTAGTTTTGAATCAAGTTTAGTTAGTTTTACTTAGAAAAAAGTAGGATTTAGTTGAGGATAACCACAAAAACTTTGACCCAAAAAGCTCATAAAACAAAACACAAATATAGTTATTAATAGAAATGTATGGTCAACAAAAATGACAGAATATGTGATACGAGACAAACACGTGATCTATATATAAGCAAAAACCGAGTTTCAAAGAAAAAATTAATGCTTTGTTGACAGGAACATGCTAATTACGGATGCCATGGAAACGTTCTTTCAATGGTACACTGGTCAATGGTATAGTAAATAAAGCACGTGGAACGACAAGACATAAATCTATAAAACAAAATTTGCCCCATAATGTATTCCTAATTTAAAATATCAAGAAAAATTTTATCAAATCATTATAAGCTCAGCAAACAATACTTTTTTTTCGCCGGTAAACAAAAATAGACTACTTTTTTTATTTTTGTGTACATCATACAACAGTGGCTGAGTCCACATTTAGCATATTGTAACACCTACATTCTACATTAAAATTTTACTTATGTCGCCAGAATTTCTTCAGTAAATCATTTAAAAAGGAATATAGTTCACATTTCACAGTTTTTAGAGAATGTTAAGATCAACACAATAATTTTACGTCAAGATAAGCAATAAATATGTAACAAAAAAGAATATCGTTACTTTTATTGCAAACACAATAAAATGTCATTTGAATTTAACATTCGCTAAATAACAGATATAAATATCAAAAACCTTTAATTCATCCTGATTTTTTAACTTAATATTGTTTTAAATGTGAAGTCGGATATTGTTTGAATAGTTTATTATACTATAAAATACTTACAGCCATTATTAAACACTTTCAAGGTAAAACTATTGTATAAACGTGAACCTAACCGGCTTCCACTAAACTGTAATTTATTAAAGAATGGGTACCGAACCGAACGAAACGTAGATGCTGTTGGTTGAATGATGACGGGAGCGAGTACGGACAGAGGAGTGTAAATTCCCGTATCGTATTCATAGATATATAAATAACTCGTATTGTGTGTTGGAGCGTAACAAATTGCAATGTTGCCAAGTAAATTCCACAACATTCTTTTTAAAAACACTACAAAAAAGTATTTATCTTTTATCAACTGAATTGTTTTTCTAACTATGTTTTATGGAAAACATTCTCACATATTTTTTCTTGTTTATTTTTTCATTGATTGTTTAGCCATATGTATCAATTCTTGAGTTTTTATACGCCAGTGACAGATACACTTTAATTTGTAGGTCCTGACCCAACAAACACGGATCATCAACAATGATATTTTTACATACTTTACTTAATTTAAAAAGGTATGTGGCAAAGTACACATTAAAAGTTTATTTACATTTTGAAGTACCTGTGCCTCAATATTTTCCATGAAAAAGAAGTGGTTTTCTACCCTACTTTAATTATGTAACACTCTTCTTCTTAGGGTGCCTGTCCGTTCCGAACGTTGGCGATCGTTCTGGCTATGAGGACTTTGTTGGTTGCTATACGAAATAGCTGTGTTGAGGTCTTTCTATACCATGCTTTTAGGTTAGCAAGACAGGATATTCTTCTTCGTCCTAGGGCCCTTTTTTCTTTTACCTTGCAAAATGCATTGAAGTAGCTCGTATCTGCCTTGATTTCTCATTATATGTACTGCAGCTCACTTTTTGCCTTTCCGATGCGACATTTAATCTCTTGGGTATTGTTCCACGACTCATTCATTATAGTTCCCAAGTAGTTGTATTGTGAGACACGTTCAATTCTCATTTGGTTCACATACAGATTTGCTTCAGTTATGTTTTCCTTGCTGATGATCATTAGCTTGGTTTCGCTGGTGTTTATATCCAGTCCATATGTTCTACCTGTTTCCGTTATTTTGTTCATTAAGTTTTGCAGCCCTTCTATGGTATTGAAGAACACTATTGTATCATCTGCATACAGCAGGTTATTGAGATTGACTCCATTTATTGAGATGTCTTCATCAATATCTTTTAGAGCCTCTTTAAAAATGTGCTCCGCATACATATTGAATATCAGTGGTGAAATTATGCACCCCTGTCTCACTCCCCTTAAGATTTTGACCTGATTTGTATATTCTCCATCTATTCGGAGCACCGCTGATTGATTCCAATACAGGTTAGCTATTATTTTTAAGTCTTTTCCGTTAATCCCCGTCCTGTTCGGCACTTCCATAATTTTTTGTTTATACCTGACTCTATCGAAAGCCTTCTTGTAGTCAATCAGACATGCAAAAAAATTACAGCTGATATCTCTACATTTCTAAAACAATACATGCTCTTCTTCTTCTTCTACTTTTTGTAGATCTTTCGATCTGTTTAATTCTGAAGCTGCCTCTGGTTAATTTCTTGGGAGGTAGATTGCCAACTATCCCTCCATCTTTTAGGTGGTCTTCCGGGGGGTCTTGAACCGGGCGGATTGTTTTCTAGGGCAATTTTTGGGAGTCTATTCTCATCCATTCGTCTTACATGGTTGTACCACATCCTCTTGCGCTGCCTTCTCCATCTTACAATATCTTGAATTTTGCACTGCTCTCTAATGTTTGTATTTCTCGCGCTGTCTCTTCTTGTTTTCCCCATTATTGTTCTTAGGGTTTTCATTTCGGCAACCCTTAGCATCTGTTTCGTTTTGTTAGTATCTTCGCGCACTTCTATGCCATATGTCATGATCGGTCGTATGCAAGTCTTATAGATTCTAATTTTACTATCTGTGCGCATATACGGATTTGACCAGACTATCTCCCGCAGACATCCTGACAGTGCAGATGCTTTGTTGATCTGACTCCTCAGGTCCTTTACTGGGTCGTGGGTGCTTGATATATCTATGCCCAGATATCTGAATTGCATCACCTGTTCTATGGGGTTGTCCTCAACCACTAACTTACATCTGAGCGGATCTTTTGCTATTGTCATACATTTAGTTTTGTTGGTAGAGATGTTCATATTTAGTAGTCGGCTTGTTTGAAAGAACTGAAAGAGCTGCCTTTGGAGATCATCTTCCGATTCGGCAATAATTGCTGCATCGTCTGCGTAACACACCATACCAATTCTTTTGTTGCCCATTCTATATCCGAGATTAAGAGATGTTACTTTGTTGATAATTTTGCCCATGAGAAGATTAAACAAGAAGGGGCTTAAACTGTCGCCTTGTCTAATTCCTCCCAGTGTTGGAATATTTTCAGTGAATTCGTCTCCTGCTCTAACTTTGGTTACGTTGTTGTTATTTAGTTTATGGAGTATCTTTGTTATACTAGTCGGTGTTTCATTTTCTATTAATATATTTAGAATGTCTCCCAGGCGAACTCTGTCAAATGCCTTCGTCAAATCAATGAAGCAAATATACGCTGGCATGCCGAACTCTATAGCTTTTTCTTTTATTTGTTTTATTATAAATACTGCGTCTGTTATAGACCGCCCTTTTGTAAAACCTTTTTGTTATTCAGCATTAGTGATTTGCTTTTCCAATTTGTCCTTGAGAATACCCGTGAAAAGTTTCATTGTTGTATTTAAGAGGGTTATTCCTCTATAGTTTTGTGGGCAGGTTTTTTGTCCTTTTTTAAATATGGGGATTTTGATACTATTATGCCATTCCTCTGGTGTTTCTGTTTTGTTTAATATTTTGTTAAATAGTTGTGCCAGTTTACTTGCAAGTTCCGGGCCTCCATATTTTAAAAGTTCATTGGGTATACCATACGTTCCCGGTGATTTTCTGTTTTTTAGCTTTTTGATCTTTGCTTCTACTTCTTCGTCATTGATTGTAGCACTCACATCTGTTTCGCCTTCGTTTATATTCAGCGTTTCTTTAACATCATATAGCTCTTTAAAATGCTGTTGCCATGTCTCTATAGGTACTCCTTTGGTCTACCCGAACTCGTTAACTGGTTTTTTCCTGTTGCGGAGCATTTTCCATACTTTCTTTTGGGCACCATATAGGTCGTAGTCCATGTCACAAGTGAATTTGGCCCAATGTTCTCTTTTGATTGATTTTATTCTGGCGTTTACTTCGTTTCTTATTTGGTCATATTCTGCATGAGCTTCTTCCGATTGCGTGCTTTTATATCTCAGGTAGCATTTGCGTTTTAATTCAGAGAGTTCTTTTACCTCTTGGCAAAACCACGGTTTGGTGTGATTTGTCGCTCTCGTGTTAATTTTCCGCTTTCCAATCGCTTCTTCTGCTGCTTCGTTGATGCATTTCTTAATTTTCTGCCAAGTATCTTCTACTCCCCATTCGGGTTTTAAGTCGATCTCTTTTAGTTTGCTGGTAATCCTGTTCTCATAAAGCAGTTTTGTCCTCTCTGTTGCTAGCGACTCTATATTATGTTTTTCGATGAACATTGGGGGTTTTCTGTTTCGTTGCGGATGTTCTAGTAGCATCTTGCATAAAACAAGGTTATGATCAGTCCCCAGATTAGCAGATGTTAGTGCTCTGACATCAAGTACTTGTGACGGAGTTATCGCTCGATTTGTGATTATAAAATCTATCATTGATCGCTGGCCTCGATTCTTGTTAAAAGTGTATTTATGTTGGTCTTTATGAAGAAAGTATGTATTGTTGATTCTCATTTCATTTCTAGCGCAAAAGTCTATTAGTGCTTCGCCGTTTTCATTAATTATTTCTTCGTTGTACTTTTGTTTTATACCTGGTATAACAACGTTTCCGATCCGTGCATTAAGATCCCCGAGTACGATAATTTTGTGTTTCGTATTTATGTTATCTACGACGTTTTGTAGTTGCTGATAGAAATTTTCAGTTTCTGCTGTGGGCTTAGATATGTCTGGGGCATACGTGCTTATCAGGTATGTTGTGATGTTACGCATTTTTATAGAGATTTTTAATAATCTATCGTTGATGTATTCGATATCTTCGATGTTTTGCGTGTATTTATCGTGCAGCAAAATTCCAACTTCTGAATGCGCTCTTTCTTGTTTAGCTTTCCCGCTGTATATGAGTATAAATTCTCCGTATTTTGATGTTCCTTGGCCTTTTTTCTTTTGTTTCGGAGATTCCGCAGATGTCAATATTGTGTTTCTTCATTTCTATTATGATCTCCTGGTCTCTTCCGTTCCACGAAGTAATGTTCCAGCACGCGATTCGTGTGATGGGGTCTGTAGGTTTTCGTTTACCAATTCGTTTTTCCATTGTCATAGCGTGTGTCGTCATCTGATATTTCCGTCCGGTATCCGAGGCTGAATCTTCAGCTCTGTGAGCCAATATGGGTTTCTTTATCCCAGGTAGGTGGCTAGCCTTGCCATAGGGAACCTCCTCCTTTATCCGGGCTTGGGACCGGCAGTGTCATCCGATGAGCTACTCAATCCACCCATCAGACAACCCAGGCGGAGTTAAGTTAAGTTAATATAATCCAACAAGACATGCATGCTAAATAAAGCTTCTCTCGTACCAATGGCGTTCACCAATCCAAACTGATTTGGCGCAATTTGTTCCTCATATTTCCGATAAATTTTTTTGTGGATGACTTTTAAAACAGCTTCAGCAGATGGCTCATTAGGGTTTTGATCTTATAATCTTCACAAACTTTTGCTTCTGGTTTTTTGGGCAATGGTGTGAACTCCGATTTGAGCCACTCTACTGGTATTTTTCCTGCATTGTATATTTAATTAAATATTTCAGTTATTATTTTTATTTGTTCTGCATCTAATAGCTTCAACAATTCTGCAGGAATTTCATCAATTCCCGGTGCCTTTCCATTCTTCATTTGTCTGACGGCTGCCGTTATTTCTTCTGGTAGGATTTCCGACCTGAATTTTCTTCAACGCTCAATATTAAGTAAATAATCATGAATGTGTTGCTTGTGTGAGTCCATTTCAAATAGGTAAAAGAAATTATAAATAAGACTTACTCACAATCAGTTTAAT